CCCCCCCCCCCCCCCCCCCCCCGTGTGTGCCATCCATCCATCCATCCATCCACAGCCCCTCTCTCGAGGCCGACTGCCGTGCGCTCGAGCGGCAAGCCAACCAGATGGAGCAAGACATACAGCACCTCACCGTAAGCGGCGACCCGACACAAACACACACACACACATTCTCTCCCCCCTCCCAAACACACACACACACACACACAGAGGGAGAGATAAGGAAGGAGCCACCTACGCCTATGTGTGTGTGTCTGTGCATCTATGTGTGTTAGAGCAAGCGCCGCGGCCGTGCGCACGAGCTCGAGAAGCGGAGGCAGGAGGCCGACAGATATGTGAAGGCCCTCACACACACCATGAAGAGCGAGGTACCTACCTCGTCAGGACGTCAGTCAACACACACAGCGGCGTGTAACGACGCTCTCTCTCTCTCTCTCTCTGTGTGTGTGTGTGTGTGTGCAGTTGGGTCAGCTACAGGCGCAAGCACAGGAGCTGCAGTCCCTGGCACCCACTCCAGCGGCGGCCGCCAGGAGGCCGCCCGGCCGGCGGTCGACACTCTCTGTCTCGCCGGCGGATGTGCACATCCCTGACGTAAGCAGGCCATGCCATGGGTGAGAGCCGCTCGCAAAGGCGACAACGTAGAAAGAATGTGTGTGTGTGAAGGGCCCTGATGTGGACCTGATGCACCGGAAGACGAAGCACAGCGTGTCTCTCAGCGCCTCAGCCAAATACATTCTGGCACAGGGTAGGGTATGCTCAGCTGGCGTACTGACTGCACTGCATGGCATGGCCGTGTGTGTCTCGTGACATGATTCGGTGTGTGTGTCCGCCTAGCTGTGGCTGCCGAGTTGAACAGCAGCGGCTACGGCATTGACCGGCAGGAGACCGGCACAGACATGGACGAGGAGGAAGCTGATGACGGTAGGAAGGAAGGAATAGACACACAGAGCACACAGACGTCCATGTCTCTCTCTCTCTCTGTGTGTCTCCGTGTGTGTGTGCAGACGTCAACCCCTTGGTCACTTTTCAAGAAAGAAGACAGAGACGACGGAACAAAAGTAGAGGTGGGTGCGTGTGTGTGTGTGTCTGTGTGTGTGTCTGTGTGGAGGGGAGGGGGCTGGTTCTGCGTTGTCTCCATGTGTGTGCGTGTGTGTGTGTAGGTGATAGTCCGGTGGGCAAGAGCTTCTCGTCGGAGCCCTTCACAGAGCTGAGTCTGCACACAGACAGCGGAGTGCCTGACCTCACATGAGCTTCGGCCGTATGTGTGGCTGCTCTGCTGCTCTTTAATTGTGTTTTAATCTCTGCCGTCTCTTTCGATCCATGGCCTGCCTGTTGGGGGTGAAGAGGGCAGGGCAGGGTGTGTTCACCGTGCAGTCAGTGCAGGTGGGTGTCTGGTATAGACACACACAGACAACACAAGACAAAGAAAAGACAAGACAAGACAAGACAATGCAGCACAGCACAGCACAGCACCTGTCATGCTTCTGCGGACAGAGCGAGAGAGAACTAATTTGCATTCATTAGCCGTAAATAATACTCAATCGTCTGTCTGTGTGTCCGTGACGTGACACTCGTGAATACTAAACAGTTACAGACAGTGTGTCCCATGAGCACGCAGAGTCAAACAATCAAACAAGCTCAATCAAGGGGAGGAAGGAGGAATGGATCCCCGCCCCGCCCCGCCCCGTCCCATCAGCAGAGC